GATAAACTTCTTGACTGTGAGGGTGCCAGAGCCCTGGGACAGGCTGCCCAGAGAGGGTGTGGAGTCTCCTTCTCTGGAGAGATTCCAAACCCACTTGGATGCAGCCCTGTGCAACCTGCTGGAGATGGACCTGCTTTGGCAGGGGATGATCTCCAGAGGTCCCTTCCAACCCCCACCCTGCTGGAATTCTGTGAAAGGGCAAGAGTCTTGTTCCCACAGTGGGGAAGGAGGTTGAGCCTTGCACCAGGGCAAAAGGAGGTCACACAGACAGGAGCGTGGCACCCAGTGGACACCATCTCCATCAGGCAATGGAGAGAAACATGTTGGGCTGGCCCAGAGATCCCCATCCCAGTCCCACGTGCTGCTGCCACACGAGAGTGTCACTTCACTGGGTCTGAATCCCAGCTTTCATTTGACAGCAGGCCATGCCTCGAATCCACCCCTCTGCAAAAATATCCTTAACACCACAAACTGATGCTCCCACCAGCCCGGTGAAGCACCCAAGCCCCCTACCAGCAAAAGGAATGCCTTTGAGGGGGACCATCCCCTCCCTCCATGGGCTGTCAAATCTTAAAACCTCCTGGTGATACCTCCACAAACCTCTAACTGAAGCTTTGCCCCTGGAAAGTGAATGCAAAGAAGAAAAAAGGGATGACCTGAAGGTGACTCTCTTCTTAGCTTCCCTGCAGGAAGAAGATGCTTAAATGCTCCCAGGTTGGCTCCCACAGCATCCCATCATTCAAGAAGAGTCCATCTCCATTTGCCTGAGATCTACCTCCACCGAGGACAGTTTGCTAACCCACACAACCCCTACACTGCAGAAGCAGAGAGGTTTCTGCTCTCATGCTTTAACCACCAGCCCATGTCCTTGCAGCCTGGTCACCCACTCCACGTGGACTGCAGGTCACCGTTTCCCAGAAAAGCAGCCATGGGGAAGTCAGGAGGGCATCGTCCTGCCCTGGCTCACTGCTGACTCACACGTAAGTCCCCTTCTCTGTGCCTCAGCTTCCCATTTTGAACCAAAACTGCCCATTGCTGGAGAGTCTGGTGAGACTTAGAGTGCACTGTTCTCTTAACCTTGAAGCTGGTGGGTTCTGTCCATGCTGCGCACTCATGGTGGACACGTAAAAGCCACTTTCTCCTTTCCTTGCAGGAAAGACCCAGAAAAACCACACAGCATCGGCCAGCAGGTCGAGGGATTCTGCCCCTCTGCTCCGCTCTACCTGAGACCCCGCCTCCAGTGCTGCGGCACACAACAGCAGAAGGACATGGAGCTACTGGAGCAAGTCCAGAGGAGGCCACGAGGATGATGCGAGGGCTGGAGCAGCTCTGCTGTGAGGACAGGCTGAGAGAGCTGGGGCTGTTCAGCCTGGAGAAGAGAAGGCTCCAGGGAGACCTTCTAGAGACCTTCCAGTACCTGAAGGGGCTCCAGGAAGGTGGGGAGGGACTTTGGCCAAGGGCAGGGAGTGACAGAACAAGGGGTGATGGCTTGAAAGTGGAAGAGGGGAGATGGAGATGAGATGTGAGGAAGAAATTGTTTGGTGTGAGGGTGGTGAGCCAGTGTCCCAGGTTGGCCAGAGAAGCTGTGGCTGCTCCTCCCTGGAAGTGTTCAAGGCCAGGCTGGATGAGGCTTTGAGCAACCTGGTCTAGTGGAAGGTGTCCCTGCTGCTGGCAGGGGGGTTGGAACTGGATGAGCTTTAAGGTCCCTTCCAACCCAAACCAGTCTGGGATTCTATGAGCTGGAGAATCACCTTCCCCTCTACCCACAGGCAGATCTCATGCCAGTCTGATCTCCCTAGCTCAGTGCAGACCACCAGCCTCAAAGCAATCCCAGGGGGTCCAGGAGCTCAGTAAGATGCCATCTTTGAGCAAGGGGCTGCCCCAATGTCACCTGAAAGCCATGGACTGGCATAGCACAGAGTGTGGCATGGCAGACCTGCTGGTCAACACAGGTTGTGAAGCTCCTGCTCCACTTTGTGACCTGCTCCAAAATACCTGGGGCGGTCAGGGGGAAAAGGAAGGGGTTTGCAGAACCCCATAATCACGGTCTGTCCAGACCTACTGTCCTCTGTTGGGGAGCACGGACATAGGAAAGCAAATGTTTCACGTGGTCTCCACAACTACTACACTCCAATTGCAGTGGATGCCACAGATCTCAGTCACCAGAGCTGTGAAGCCCATCAGAAGCAAGCCAAGCACTTCATTACATCTTGACAAAGACAAGTCTTTCCTCCCCAGATCTCACAAAATGGAGACAGTTCTCTTTCAGTCACTTCTACTTAAGAGGTTCAAAGCTTCTCAATTAAACATCAGGTTCCAAATGCATTTTTCCAAGTGTAGGAGAAAACACCTGAGCGTCTCATCCCGCTGCCAGGATGTCGCTGACAAACACCCCTCGCAGCCTTTCTGAGTCACAGGGCAGGATTAGCCGGGTACGGAGACATCACACGAGTCTGACGTTACACTGGGACACGCACTGAGCAAACCCCGGAGGAGACAGCTCCTGCCCAACCACCCCAGGAAGAAACAGAGGAGACAAGGAAGGAACAAGAAGGAAATATGAGAGAGAACTCCCTGGTTACACAGCAAGTCGGACTTTGGCCCAAATCCCAACCACTCAAGGTGAACAACTTTCATTCTGAACGTTTTCATCCAACTTTCACAATAGCTTATTATTTCATGGTGTCGCTCAGCAATGTTTTGCCTTTTCTCCTCTACACCCTGGGGATCTTTCCCAGATCCAAATTTCCACACCCCTGAAAACACAAGGCCTTGAAACCAGGAAGACAGTAAAGTCACTTGAAAAGGAGAAAGAAAAAAAACAAGGCACAGAATTCAACGATTAGGTCAGTCCAGTCACTGTGAACCAATTTTATAGTCTCCTTGGCTGCTTCGTGACACAAACACAACTCTGCCAAGGTCTGAGTGATTGCAAAGCTCTTTAGAGCATTCAGCCGTGTACCAGCCACGCGTGTTTTGAAAGCTATGATTTAAAAGTCTTTTAGATTGAGCTTCCTTATTTTATTTGAGGGTTTCAAATCTGGGAGCTAGAAGACAAGAAAAGCAAAATGCCTAAAAAAATAAAGATAAAATTGTTGGCAAAAAAATTGGCAGGCAAAAAAAAATAAATAAATAAAAATAAACATCAGGCTCCAAATGCATTTTTCCAAATGTAGGAGGAAAAGGGAAAAAAAAAATAAAGGCAAAAAAAAAAAAATCTCACGATAAAACGAAAGTGAGATGTGTGGATGAAGATCCACCTACTGCCCTCAGAGGGAAGGGGAAAAGCAAACCTGTCCCAGTGCTGCCCAGCCTCCCCGGTCACAGATTCCCTTTAGCAGCTTCTTACTAAGAAATTCTGGCTACAGTTGTGACATTTCCTTTCCAGACCTTTGGTAAATTAATTAAAAAGGAAGTTAAAATCGGTCAGTTTGGTGCTCCTTGCCCCAGCAGAAAAAAAAAATCAAGAGTTGTCAGGACGTGTTCAGCTCCCACTAGACACGGTTAATTTAGAAAACAGCAACACTCACCTCTGCAAGGTACAGGAGGCAGAATTTCCGATCTTCTGAACCTATAAAGAAGAAAAAAAAAAGAAAAAAGACAAAAAAAACAGGATCAAAATTAAGCTACAACTGCATTTCTGCAAGTGGAGAGGCTGTGGCAGGGGACTTGGCTAAAAGACAAGCATTGAATGAATATTTATTGTTGTCATCCTCCAGTACCAGGCTGGGAGCTGGGAGCGATGTACGCTGCATCTGCAGCGGCCGTGCGCCGGGCAGGCTGCCTCGCGTGGGATCTCGCATGGACTCGCCGCGCTCTCACGGATTCTCCTTTGGGTTTGTCCTCTCAGAAGAAGGTTTGTTTCGTTCAGAGGCCACACACAGGTTTTTCTGCCTGACCTGCCACGGCACGTGCAGCCCCATTCCTTCCCGGGGGCTGTGGAGGTCCCACAGAGCCCACACAGCCATCCTGGGCACCGGCGTAGGGTCGCTCCCATCTTATCTCTGTGGATGTTTTGATCCCAGGAGGACTCACCAGAGCAGCTCCTGCTCCTACACCCTGGTTCATTCCCAGCTTCTTCCCCCAAGCCCTTGGTAAGGATGGTGGTAGGTCTGTCTAGTGCCATCTGTCCCAGCCTCCATCAGTGCCAGTGGCTGGGGTCGGTGCCTCTCCAAGGAGATGGAGCCAAATCCCAGAGCAATGGGAAGCAGCTGAGATGGGGCAGGAGGAAGAGCTCATCTTGCTCCATCAGGCTGAGGGCAAACTCCCCAAGCTCCCACCAGTGTGGCACCACTCAGGAGACCTGGCCAAGGGACTTGCAGTTCCACAGCTTCAGGACCAGAAATGGTGCTGGAGGCAATGCAATGACCAACATTGTGATTCACATCTTGCTAAGTCACGGAGCAGCTCAGTTCAGCTCCACATCTTGCTGCCAGCTGTCTCAGGGGATGCATCATGCTCCAGCTGCTCCACCAGGCCTAGTGTTCCCTGTTCCCACCAAAAAAGCATTCCTGAAGATTTGCCCTGGTCTTTCATCCCTGCTGGTGAGACACAAGTGCTCCCAGCCCCAAGGGAAGCCAGCTCCTGACATACATCAGCCTTGCAGGAGGACATGGTCACCTCAATGCTGAAGCAGAACATCCCATCTCCTAGAGCCAGCTTGCTCCTTTATGCCAACTTTGCCCTTGGTAGCACACAGCACGACTGTGCTGCAGCTTTCATAACCCTTTTAATGACATTATCACTGCCATGAGATCAGATCTGCAGTCTGGGCACGGCTGGAGATCCTATTCACAGCAGTGTCAGCACAAGCTCTGCTTCATTTCAACAGCCTGAGCCGTGCTAATGATGGGAACAGGCTCTGTACAGCAGTGGAAACACCCTGTTCCCCAGAGGAAAGCAATTCTTCTGCCACAGGCAGCAGCCCAAACATCAAGATAAGAGCTGTCACCCATTGAGGGACTCAAATGCCTTGAGTCACTCCACAGGCAATGTGAAATCCATGAAGAAGTGTGGTGGCCTGGAGCCATTTGCTGGGTGTCTCCTCCAAGCAGCCCTTTGAGGGATGGCAGATCTGCCTCTGCTGCCAGCTTCACTTTTAATGCAGGTTGCAGGATATGGGCTGGAACGTCACTATGGGGACACCAGGACATTGTGCCACAGTGGCTGCTGGAGCTCAGCATCTGGGTGATGAGTCCTGGTGTGTTTTCAGAAACTTCAGTCTGCTCCATCCCGGGTGATGTGAGGGCCAGGGAAGCAGCGTGGCCCCAGGGCTGCCAGCCAAAGGGCTCCCGTGCTGCCCTTCCAAATCTTCCCCTCCCGAAGGGGAGCAATGCTGGGCCCCCAGAGCACATGAGCCTGGCTGGGAGCCCGTGTCTCACCTCTGCACCACAGAACCACCATTCACGGCTCTCCACGGCCCTGCATGAGCTCTCCCAGCACCTTCTTCCATAAATCCCAGCAGGACCATCAGGGAATATTTCCCTCCCTAAGCCAAAGCCTCTGATGGGAGCCCCTCAGCCAGTGCTTTTCCACTTGAGGGAGGGTTTGGAGGCAGGTTCTGAGCCTGCTGCTGGCAGACCACAAGTCCACCATCCCCTTCTGTTGCTTCTGCTTCCCAAGTGTTCAACACTACAAAAAACACCTCAGCTGGGCTCTCTGCTCCTCCCTGCACCATGACCAAAGCTCTCCAGGCTGCCTTGCAAAGCAGATTGTGGAAGACCAACATTGTCCCAGACACTTTCCTTCAGGAGCTTTAACCTGGTGATCCCAGCTGCTCTGAGGAACCAGTCACCCTCTGGAGACCCTCAAAGAAAGCTGACATCAGAGTATAACAGTCCTGGGAATGACACCACTTCCCTTGGGCCTCTGTTTATTCCTTCTGCAATAACAAGTGATCCCAACAATGTCCAAAACCATCAGAATTAAGTTCCTTTCCAAATTCCTCTCTGTTGAGCTATGAATCTTGGCATTAGCAACCTCCACCACCAGCAGCTCCTGTCCCCTTGTCCCTCCATGTGTAGCTCACTGCTACACACAGCCAAGCAGCCCAGTGCTTGCAGGACACACAAAGCAAGGAGCCAGCCTGGGCTAAGGAGCTCCTTAAATCCCATTTTCTTGGGATTTCTCCTAATTGCCTTTAGAGAGAAAACCAAGGGGAGGTACGAGCCTGGCTGCCCAGCCCAGCAGTTGGGCTTGAGCTGGTGCCAGTCCCCAGCGAGGGGAAGCAGGAGAGCGATAGCAGAGCCAGGAAGGACAGACCCGAGCAAAGATTTCTGCACAAACCAGGTTTGTCAGGATTTCTTTCACTGGAGCTTTTTCCAGTCTCTGGAGGATCAGGCTGGTGTGCCAGAGTTCACTGTGGTCCAGAACCATGCGACATGCACTGCTCACCTCCTACACCTTGGACCACAGAGGCCATGAAAGACAAGGTGAGAGGCACAACCTCACCCCAGGGAGGCTAATCCAGGCTGTGTTCCCCACACAGCACTACGTCCACACCTTTTTTTGACAGCTGAACAGACTTTCAGCCAAATTCAGTGAAACACTAAAAGGAAATAAGCATGAGGAAAAAAAAACCTCACTTGAAGATATCTCCCTTTCTTCCTGATACGTTGTGATGGGGACGGGCTTGTCTTGCAGAGCAACCTGACCTGTCCCTGTCCCAGGGCTGGGCTGCTGCGTGTGCTCAGCACAGACAAGAGGAGGGTGCAAGTTTTGTGGGGACACGTCCCCCTCTCTGGCTGAGACTTGCCCTGTGCACCCATCCTGACACGCAGGGCAGGTATTTACACAGCTCTTGCCAGCCTGGCTCTGCCCACCTCCATGTGCAACCCAAGGAAAACACCCGCTGCTCGCAGGATTTGGATGGTGCACGCCGGGCTTTGGGTCAAAAAGATGGGAAAAGAGGGAAGACGGTGCTGCTCCTTTCCACAGCCTCCCTGCATGGCCCAGGGGACCATGGCAATGCCCACGGTGAGGGCAGACACTCTGCTCCCCAGCCCCTGGCGTGTGCTCAGCGAGGGTGGGACGGCATCGGGCACCCAGAGGGGAGCTCCCAGGGCAGGGTGCTGCAGGGCCTCAGCTGCACAGGGAGAGAGGAAAGTTCTTATGCACATTCCAACCTGGCTCCCAAGAGGGGATGAGCTTGTCACCCTCTGTGGCACATGTCCCCAGGGGGGTGTGCCAGGGTGCAAGCCCTGGGTGCTTCCCACTACCCTTGTGGCAGTGGGGAGAAGCTGTTGGGGGGGAAGAAGCCCCATAAATCATACATCTGACTACCTTGGAGCTCATTGCTGTGGGCTGGGATGCCAGGGACAGCAAAGCAACACGTGAAAAGTCCTTGTTTGCAGAATCCCACCTGGGGGATGGGGCTTACAACCTGGGGGTCCTCATTCCAGTTGCAAAACAGGAGCGTTCTTCTCTGTCCCAAAGCTGAGTGCACCCACCCAGGGGCCAGGATCCCAGTGAGGTGGAGACCTTCACGTGGAAATTCCCACAGTATCTAGTGAGGAAGCCAGCCCTGTCACACTGGAAACATTGGCCGGTGTGGTGCTCATCAACCACGCTCAGCTTCTAAAGCAGGAAGACAGAGCATTGTAAAGCAGATTATACTGATTTGCTTTCGCACAGGGCAGTGAGCAGCAGAAACAGGAAACATCACAATGGTCTTCAGTGTACCGGAGATGTCTCAATTGTTATACTCAGCAATACGCCTGTTCCTATTAATGTGCCATTCAGTTATTTAGGAGACCAACAGAAAAATCCCTGCCAAAAGGGACAGACATCTTTTTTGCTTGTTCCACCCGCCTTTGAAGCGGTTCTGCCCAAAACCAGGAGCGTGAGCTGCCTGAAAACTGACTGTGCTGGATTCCTGGTGTACAGAGGGGGGTGGTTCAGCGCCGTAGAAACAAACATCCCCTTCAGAGAGGCTTGTTAAACTATTCCAGATGTGATCCAGCCAAGTTATTATTGCAACAAGGAAATAAGTGGCAGAAAAGCACTCACGAAATCCACCCGCTCTGCCTGAGGTTAGGAGGCACATTCCTCTGCCAAGCTGCTTCGTGCACAGAGCTGGGACCAGCACTGAGGAAGATGATTTCTTCAAGGAGATGACCAAAAGCAGAGTTATTCAACAGCTTTTGAGAGCAGCCAGGGGTAGCACACGCGTATGCTCCAGGAGTGGACGTTGACCAACAAGCACTTCAACGAGGAACTATTTATTTTGTCCATTTCTTAGAAATAAGCAGCCCTAAGAACAAACTCAACAAACCCCAGCAAAGCTTCACTGGTTCTTCTAAATGCTTGTACTGTGGTGCCCTGTCTCCCTCACTGTTTCCATCCTCACCAAATATGTCAATGAATTGAATCTGGGGGTAGAAATGTTGTTGGAAATGGGAAATAACAACTGATAGACAGTCTGTGGTGTCTGGCACAGCATTGCAAATCCCCAGCACTGAGGCTCACAACAATGTGGGGCATGTAGAGGGATGCAGCTCATCCACAGAGCTCAAAGCTCAGCTAGGGAAAGTCATGGGACATGGCAAAATTCATCCAGAAAATGATCTCTTTGGAGAAGCATCCCAGATCTGGATCAATCTATTTTGGTTATGGCCACGGGACTGCATCAAGACATCAGCTTATACAGCTACAGAGTAATTTGGGTTGGAACAGACCCCTCTGATGGTCTCTAGACCAAGCCCCTGCCCAAAGTGCCCTCAGGGCCATGAACAGTTGAGTCCTGAACACTTTCAGGGATGGAGATCCTACAACCAGCCAACTTAATATTTGACCAATCTCACCATAGAAATTTTTTCTTTATATCTAATCACAGTTACCCATGTGGGCTCCTGGTCCAGCAACACCTGGGCTCAAGGAGGAGCCAGGGCACTGAGGCAATCACATTAAACAAGCCCGTACCCAAAGAAGGAACAAGGTGGGAGTGGGCCCAAGGCCAAGAAGTGGCTCCACAGTAGCAAATAGGATGTGGTAGAGCAATTTGTTCATTCCTCTTTTGACCCTAAGTAGCTAAAGGCCATCTTCTGTACAGCCTCAGTATTTTAACTTGAAATAACCGATTTCAAGTCATCCTGCTGCCCTAGAAGCTCTTCCTAAGCCCTCAGCTGGATGCAAAAACCCAGCCAAGGTGAAGAGAGTAAGGGCATGGTCCACAGCCTCCCACGGAGGCCAGGGCTTGCTCTTTCCTCACCAGTGGGGTGTGATGGGGGGTGGGATGCTAGTGCAGGGGAAAACCACGGGCGGCTGAAGGAAGAAGTAGCAAAGGTCAGTAGGGCTCAGCCAGACTCCCTTGGAGACAACCTCTGAACTCTCTCAAGGCACCATGGAGGAAACCTCAAGACTTCACTTCCCTTTCTCAGCCTCAGCAAGCCCCTGCTGTAGGTAACGTAACCCCAGCAAGGGGAACAGCCCAGCACAGCAAAGGCCTGAGGAACACCAGCCCAAAACCCCCGAGACGCACCCAAAAAGCCCTGGAAAGTGGGGCTACCAAGTGCCTCTGAGGTGTCCCAGGAGATGGAGCTCCCAGGGACTGGGTTAATGCAGGGATGGGAAGGGTGATGCTGGCCCTGCACCTCAAGAAAGGATGATCTGGCAGCACCAGTTGGATGGCACTGTTACATACTGGAAGCAATGGGATAGTGCAGTGCCATCCTGCTGCTGGCCAGAAATCTTTACAGCTAGTGGCCCAGAAAATGCCCCAAACATCTCCTCCAACTATTGCTGCAGACACTTACCCTCCTGGAGCTTGACACTCTGCAGATAGAGAGGGTTCCTCAGCACGTTGCAGCGCCCAGGCTCGTCCTCCTTGGTGAAGAGCAGCAGGTCAGAGTAGACAAAGAGGGTCACCTGGAAGCACAAGAGCAGCAAAGAAGCTGTAAGGAACTAATCTCTGGGCACTGAGAGAGTGTCCTGGAAAGGTCGTCTACCCTGGGGAGATGCACCAGCCATGACAGGCAGCCCAGGCACCCCTTCCCTAAGGGGTTGATTGCTGCTACACCCCTGGGGTGCTCCCAGCAAGCTTCAGACAAGGCTCCTCCCGCTTGGCAGCCACTTACCGAGGGTTGTGGAGTCCCGTGACAAGAGGGATAAACCTGCCCGACAGTTGAACGCCACGCAAACACACCCTCTCTGCTCCCTCGTGTCACTTCCCATTTACATAAGTTATAAATCAGAGGAGCAGGAGGAGGGAATAAGTTGCCGGCTAATCCCAAGCAGGCTGTAGAAGTTGGAACCTAAAAGCAAGTGTGATCTCCCTGGACACACTCACGACAGAGTTTCTCGCTGCTCTCGGTCTTTGCAAGCCCCATTTCGTTCTCTTTGAGAAAATAAAGAGTTTGGCTTTTGCAACAGCAGAGCCCACATGAGCAGTTGCAGGGAGTAAACTTGACACCTTTAAACCACACTGCCGGGTGGAAAGCAAACACTGAACCCAGTGTCTGCCCAGCTCTGTGCTTGAGCAGTGAGTCAAGTGTCCTAGAAGCTGGGAGCTACTCCACAGCAGTGCTAAGTGCTCACAACTCAAAAGGTAGATTTTGTTCTGCTTCTGGCTCTTACCTGAGGTCCCTGGTTCAATCAGTACAGATTAGTGTGATCTTTAAAATAAGAAGAATGAGTTTCTCCACTGTACTGGAGATCCTTGACCCAGAAACCTACTGGGAGCGAGTGGCTTGGTGCAATCACTACACCAGTAATGGAGGTTTGAGCCCGTCCTGTTCTCCAGTAGAAGTTGGGGATGTACAGCAAAGCCTAGAAGATGCCAGGAAGCAGCTGCAATATGCCAGTGGGCATACTGGGTGCTGGACCTTCTGCATACCACCAAACCACACACTGCTCTCAGCACAGGACGCAGCGTGTGAGCACTTGGCTGCTTTTATCTGCTCCTTTGGATGCTCCCAAAAAACCTCCCGCAGCAAAGGGAAAGCTGCTTTGCACCACTGAGCAACAGCAACGAAGGTTTTGTGGTCTTTTAGCAACCCCTTCACAAAATCAGCCAACAACCCAGCATCCCAGGGGTGTGCTGGGAGCTGACACCGCTGTCACCCCCCAATCACCCTTTGAAAGGTGATTTTGCTCTGGCCAGGGGCTGAGTCACTGTTTACGGGGATGTGCTGCCAGTACAGTTTGTCTCTGTGACCTGGCTGATGGACACACGTCAGGAGGAGGACAAGCTGGGTGACAGTTTGTCACATGGTGGTGAGTCTCACATCAGGTCAGCAGCATCCAGCTTTGAAAGCAAAAAATCAAGCTGTGCAAATTCATTTTTTGTGGGATTCTTAATAAGCACAAAGCTACTGGCAGAGCTTTAACTGACCATGGAGCCAGGGAGTGTCTGTATTTCTCTGTATTATTTGGAAAATCCCTTCCTCTGCTCTCAACCCACCGTTGGCCTCGTGCCCACACTCACTCTCTTCATTACTTCTGACTTTTTTATTAATTCAAGGAATAACAAACTGCATAATAAACTTTCTCCCACACCCATCTTGTTCCAAAAGGTAACCTTTCTGGGACATGTCTGGTGCCTCAGCCTCAAAGAAGAAATGTTCAGGGATTTTGTGAATAGCAACTCAGCAAAGTGAAGGAGATAAAAGCATGATCAACAAGTGGTCCTGCTGGAAATGAAGGAAAGAAATTTGAAGACCTAATACACACAGAAATATAACGGGTAGGAAAAAAATATGAGAAGGATCAGCAAGAAAAAAAAGTGTCATTTCCAAACCAAGCAGATTTAAATGGGGAATCGTGGAGACAGAAATACAGAAAAAGTATTTACAAGTGACACTTGCTTTTCATAGAATCCCAGACTGGTTTGGGTTGGAAGGGACCTTAAAGCTCATCCAGTCCCAACCCCCCTGCCAGCAGCAGGGACACCTTCCACTAGACCAGGTTGCTCAAAGCCTCATCCAACCTGGCCTTCAACACTTCCAGGGAGGAGCAGCCACAGCTTCTCTGGCCAACCTGGGACACTGTCTCACCACCCTCACAGCAAACAATTTCTTCCTCACATCTCAGCTCCATCTCTCCTCTGCCACTTTCAAGCCATCACCCCTTGTTCTGTCACTCCCTGCCCTTGGCCAAAGTCCGTCCCCAGCCTTCCTGGAGCCCCTTCAGGTACTGGGAGGCCACTAGAAGGTCTCCCCAGAGAGAGAAGATGGGACTGACTGAATTCAGGATATACAGAAGATAAACAGTGTGGGTTACCTAAGAGCATCCCTATTAGATGCTGCTTCCAGGAAGACACTTGATTCTAGAACAGCTCCACACAAAACAGTTTCTAGAGGTCCCTCTGCTCCTACAAGTCACTGGGGGAAGAGAAGGAGGTTGTCCCTTCCACCCACACAGACAGAGCCTGCCAAGAGCACCCCAGCACCATGAGGCCCAGGGCTCCAGTGGACCCTGCTCGTAGAGGTGGGAGCAGGAGCAGCTCTGTGGGACAGAGCACTACACTCAGAAGTTCTTCTGAGCACGGGAAACTCAAATCATAGATGACCCTAAGGCAGCAGCCAGGGCTGGAGTGAGCAATCTGGAGCTCTGCCTAGGGTTGTCATCACACCACTGACAAGCTGTAACATGTCTCCAACAGCCCTTTGCAAACAGAGATCTGGTATCTACCATGAAAAAAAAAATCACAGGGCTCATAAAAGCAAAAGAGCAAACAAAAAATAAACCCAGTGCCTGAATTCACCTGGGTAAGACACAGAATTCACCAGAGCTGCTCCTTGGAGAGTCAGAGTATCTCTGTGTCTTTCCCAGAACTAATTTCCTACCCTAAAAATCAGAACTAAAACAACTGGCACAATGTAAGGACTCCTCTGAAGACTGAGCTAGGCACATCTGTGCTATCCCTAAAGTGATTGAGGCCACAGGGCAGTTGTCACACAGACCTTTTAGGGGGATGTGGATGGATTTTATAGGGGGGGGGGAAATGTTCATTGACCCTGACACCTGTGACACTGTTCATCTGGGTGTGTTCTGCACCACGGCAAAGCCACATCTGCTGATAGCTTTGACTAACTACAGAATATAACTGGGGAAAACATTGTTACAGAAGGACAGGGCACATTTAAAGTGTTTCCTAAAAGAAAACAAGAGAAAATGAAAGGCAGGAGGGCAGGTGGAAAGCAGTGGGTTAGTTTGGGTTAGTGTGCTTCCCCAAGGTGAGACCAGGAGATCAACACTGGGACTGCTCCAGAGCCCCACCACAGGAAGGAGGAAGTGATAATTGTGCTTTGTAAAGCAAAATAAAGTAACAAAAACATTATAAAAAGGTGCCCAGAAATTAAAGTACCTTCACGTTCAAGCTTAAGAATAGTTAACACTTCTCCTGACACTGTCTGCAGTAGTGCATCAGCAGAGACACTGGGACGACGGACCAGTGCAAACCCTGCCTGCTGGTCCCAGGAGAAGCCTGAGCCAGTGGATGCTTCCTGAGCCATCTCCCTCTCTCTAGCAATAGTCCCATAGCTGCAGAACAGAGGGAGCTGAGGGAGCAGAGTGAAGCAGAGGCAAAGCTTTTACGATAGAGCTTTCAGGGTGATGATCTCCTGCACTGCTGGCTGGAGATCTCTGCCTGCAGCTGGCTACAGAAATCCTATAATCCTTGGTGAGGAGCATTGAAGACACGTATCCACCCCTAGGACTGAGTGACACACATTTTCTATGCACCAGTACTGGATTCTTCTTCTCCAGAAGAATTGTGTGCAACCCCAAAGAGAAAGTCCAGTGATACCAGTATGAGGGTTGTATCTACAAAGTTCATGTGTCCCCGTTCATTCAGTGGAGCCAAATGCATGAAGCTTTCTTAATATTCCTCAGTTTTTTCAGATCTTGACTTATCCTCGTAGCCCTCTTACAAGCCAATCCAAATTCTCAGTATCCTCTATGAAGCAGACATCAGTGTTGGACTCAACAGACCAAGAATGATGCAGCTCCACATGTACAGGGAGATATCACCCAGTCACTTCTACTCAGTGCTCCCCTGATCACAGTCATACTTTCTCAGCTACACCTTTGCACTGGCAGTTACTCACTGAGCGTTCACAGAGACCAGAGCAGTAGGAGAACATGAGTAAAAGTTACCACAGCTTTGCTCATTAGCATCTCAGCCAGCTCAGTCTGGGTCTAAAGAGATCAGCAGCCGAGGCTCTGCAGGTGAGGTAGGTGCACAGACACAGGTATGGCACTTCAGAGATGGGCATCAACTTCCCAGCTCAGGAAAACTTTACCACCCCTCAGTGATACACCAAAGCTCTGGAGTCATTGCTTTCCATGATACAGCCCTAATTCTCTTAAGCATGACCTGCTCCTTTGCTCCTGGATTTTTACTTCTGCACGTATCCATATTAAATGCATGTTCTCCAAGACACCTCAGCAGGCTTTTAGCCCACAATGCACTTACCCTCTTTTACCACCTCACACATTTTTTTCTGCTAAGGAGTTTATACACTCAGGAAGGAGTTTATACACTCAGAAGTTCTTCACTATGCTCAGTTAGACTTCAATAAAGATACACCACCACTCAAAAGGAGATCCCATGGTGAAGACTTTAGCTGTCAAACTTGAACCTCACCTTGACTTACATGAATCAAATATTCTTCTGCCATGAACATCAGGGCATCAGGGAAGAGCAGGCAGTGAAGACCTCAAGGGGTCACACAGCTACTCTCAAACACTAGCATAAGCAGTGGCTGTGCAGATGGGGAAATGGTGTGAATAAATGAGGAAGAGAAGGATATTAAGAGGCAGTGAAGAAGGAGGTACAGAGTAAGTGGGACTAGTGTGGTGGAAGGAGAAGGTAAGTGCAGGTTTCTGGTATTCTCACTCAAACTAAAGTGTCTAAAATAAAGGCTGAACACAAGATCTTGAAAAATCTGTGCCAGGGAGTAGGGGTTGGGTCAACCCACTGTGTTGGTCAAACTCAGTCACTCACTGAAAGAGAGAGCTGGCAACCCTGTTCCAGGCCAGGACTTGCATTGCAACACCTGGAATGAGAGAGAAAAGCCTCCTGCCCTGCAGAGAACAGCATAAAACCTGGGCATGATGCTCCATGTCCTCCAGACTCCTGGCAGAGCTGGGGGCTTTCAGAGTTCATCCTGATCTGCAGACCCTGCCAGGATGACAGGAAAGAGAGCTGAGAAGGGGATGAGCATGGCCCATGCTGTGAAGGTTACCTCAGAGCTTTGGAAAGTTGCCTCCAGGTTCATTGGAGACTGACCAAAAAAGGACAAAGCCCACGTTCAACACCTTGTGCACAATCATTTGCATCACGCTGGTTCCTCTGGCACTCCACAGGCTGGAGGGATTTCAAGAAGACCATGGAAGCGGGAATTGCAACCAAGTCTAGACAGGATGTGATTAAGGCCTCCTTAAGGATTGCCCCAGAGGTAAGGTCAGGGAAAGGACAGATCCTGGCAAGCCTCCAGAGAGATAGGTTGAGTCCTTCAGGAGATGGGAGAGTTTGCTCAGTGATGAGGATGCAGCGCCTGATGTTGAAACTACCAAGGGGAAACTATTTTATTGCTTAAAAAAAAAAAAAAAGAAAGAAACAAGATGTCCATCTCCAGCCCCTGCATGTGGGCTCTCCTCTCTCGATGCACTGAGCCAAAGCACAATAACAGAGAGAAAACAGTCCTGCAAACCACAGGAGCAGTGGTCCAGTGAGAAAATGGAAAACCATATGGAGCAAGGAAGAAGGGACCGATCAGGAACAAGACAGCTTCTGTTTGGGCAGCAGAGAAGGCTGGAGAGGGAGTGAGCTCAAGTCCAGAAGAAAAGAGAAGCCAGAGCACTTCTGTACTCCATTGGAGAAACTCCATTGTGTCCAGGCCATTTGAGGTCTTCCTGGCTTCAGAAATTTAGGTTCCCATATCTCACAGCCCATCAGGACCAAAGCAGCTCCTTTGCTCCACTGGAGGAGGGATCTCTGACTTTCCAGAGAGACCTGCACCAATTCCTTGAAGCTCTGCAAAGCCTGTGACCATGGCCCTGTGACACACTGCAGACCTGAGAAAGGGACATGGCTGATCTCTTGGTGTTGCTACCTACAACTGCCCGCTCCCAGCAATATGGGGCTCAGCACCACGCCTGGGTGCACACCAAGGGAAAGGCTCCTGTCCTACAAAGCTTGTTCCCACTCACTGCTTCTATTTTTTCACTCCACTTAGTCACAGCCTCTTGCCTTGCCCCTCTGCCAGCCTTACACAGGCATCACCGCCTCAAGGCACCATCATTCTCAAAGGCTGTCTCACATTCCTGGCCAGTGTACAGCATCCTGCGCTTTCCTGGCAGCAGCTCCAATTGGGAAATCCTCCTCCAGCCTCATGCTCATCCTTAGGGCATCGTAAGCAAAGAGAGCCCTTTCCCTGAGATGTTCTCCTTCTGATCCTGCCCACAGCTGGGTCTCTGAAATGGCTGACGTGGCCATTTGGAGACAGAGCAGCCCACCTCCTCCAAAGGTGCTTGTCCTGAGGTTCTCCATCATCTAAATATGAACACCCCCAGACACACACATGCTCCACCCAGGCTGCAAACAGAATTAGTTACTCATAATTATTCCACATTTGGCTGCTACTACAGACCTCTGAGTCTGAGGAAAGGAAACAACTCCAAACCATTCAGGAGAAGCATCCTGACTTCAGACTGGCCACTATATTTTCAAGCCATCGCAGCACAGCTGTGCTACACAGCCACGTTTTTACCTGATTTTCACTCATGCAGGTGCCCAGAAGAACCTGAGCACCAAAGAACAGCAGGACAGACAGGGGAAGAGTTATATTTACAAATCAATGACAAGTTTCCTAATGGATCATGCAATTTTTTTCATGTACTTTGTCAGAAAGAAAAAAAACATGGTGACTCAAGCGAAAGCAAGGGATGAATTATGTGTTGAAAACCAGAAAGAGAGAGGAGCCACTTAACATAACACAATCTTGTACTGTTTCACACAGGCCAGCGATGTGCCGTGTCTCTGGTATTCTGCTGTCAGCCACCCAGAAAGGTGTTACCCAGAAACTAAGATCAGTTAAGTAAAAATTCCTCTATGTCTCTGTGAAGATGACATTGTTCACTACATCTGAATTCAAACCAAAATTATTCTGGACAGTGGTGAGATTCTCTGAAAACACCCCAAAAGAAATGGCAGTTTCCTTCAGCACTAGGGCACAATACATGAGTGGGCTCTCCCAGCTGCCGCTTCCTCTGTCCCAGATTCCAGAGCTTTGAGGACTTTACAGTTGGATGCAAGAGGAGCCAGCAGCAAATGTAACCAACACCCACACTCTGCCAGGCTGGGTGGTGAAAGTTGTCACATCCAGAGGTTCAGCACATAGCCAAAGCTTAGCTGTTACCCCAGATTTTTAACAGCCATCCAATAGCATCACCAAAAAGAAGCCAAAGTAAGGAAAGAGGACATGTGACCTGTTTCAGGAATTAAATTTCTGAAAATCCCTTGTAACAAGTTCTCTGTCTAGTTCTCTAATTTGGCACAAAATATTCTTAAACTCCCTCTTTCTGAGTCTGTCAGGCTGTAACAGGAAAGAGGGGAGGTTTAGATGAGATATTAGGAAGTTCTTCACTGTGAGGGTGGTCAGACACTGGAACAGGTTGCCCAAGGAAGTTGTGGCTGCTCCTCCCTGGAAGTGTTGAAGGCCAGGTTGGATGAGGCTTTGAGCAACCTGGTCTAGTGGAAGGTGTCCCTGCTGCTGGCAGGGGGGTTGGAACTGGATGAGCTTTAAGGTCCCTTCCAACCCAAACCAGTCTGGGATTCTATGATTTGCCACACACAGTTTCTTCTTAGTGACCATGAAGGAAGACAAGGGAAAAAAAAGTTGCTTTCTAGCAAAGAAGAGTTTTGATATTTAGTTTAACCCATGATAAACCAACTAAGAGTTTTTCTAAATATCATATTAATACAAGTCCTGCATAATAAAACATTTCCCTTCTCAGTCTACTATATGAGACTGCAGTAGAGCGTGTTTGGAAAGCTCGGACAGCATGGAAAGAGTCTCACCTGTATAGTCCTGCTTCTGCTCTCGTGTAGAAGCAGCTCCTCTGATAGAAGCAGAGTCCGGGCTGGGTTGCAAAGATCTAGGGGCTACATTTGAAAGGTAAAAAAGAAAAAAGAAAAAAAAATAAATAAGAAAGAAACAATCAAACCTTCCACTGGAAGCACGGTTTGCCAAAAAAACTTCCCATCCACCAAACCCACTTTGTCTTCACTTTAAGCTGTAAGTCACTCAGGGAGAAGCCATCCCATAGTGGGATCAAAAGGATAGAAAGTCTGCAGTCCAGCTATGTGATAAAAAGAAAAGCCTTACACTTAACACCTATGTCAGACCCATCTATAAAAAGCCAATCATCCGCTCACCTCTGTGTACTTTAACTGTTCTGCACACTGCGAGCTCGGTTATGGGTGCTTTTTTAGCAGGAAATGCAACCACAGAAGTGTCACATCAGGTTCTCATGTCCCTCAGACAAGAATATTTGCTACATGATTTCATGGATTATTCTTGCAGTAAATTAAAGCAGCTAAGAGGGCTGCTCTTTCTCATGGCACGCTGCACGCTCAGCCTCGCAGTCAGCACCTTCTCTCTCTAACGCTGGAGGAGAGCAGCACAGGTTCAGTTGTCCTGACTGCAGAACAAACCCTGCAAAACCAGCCCAGGGTGATTCTCCTGAGCAGCTCGGTCAGCAGGCACATCAGGGTACCTGCACGGGGACCTGGCAGTATCAAACTAAGTGCTAAGCATGAAAATCACGTCCTGAAATGGCAGGAACTCCCCAGACTCAATCCAAGACACAAGTTTTGGGAGTAAGGAGGCAGGAGTGTCAGTTGTTTTGCTACCACAAGGTAAAATGTGCCTGTAGCCAGGGCTGGTGAAACCAAGGTGAATGGCCACTCAGGTGCCATCAGGGAGGACAGAGGTGAGGACAATCCCAGCACCAGCCCAGCCCCACATTTGCCTCCAAGAAGTCCCCTGGCTCGGGCTGGAGTGGCAGACAACACAGATGATGGGTTTCAGCCCAAAGGAAATCACCAGTCTGAGCTGACAGGACAGTGGCATTGCTGCTAGCAGGGGAGGATGGATGGTTCCCCACTGTCTCAGAGATGAAGCTCTTCATCAGTAATGTATTTAAATAGACAGGATCAGATGAGGTTTTCTGGGGTTCTGGCCATGTGAAGGACAAAATAGAAGACACAGAGGTAGTTAGAGCTACTACCACCAAATTCAGGGCTAAATTTTAAGAAAATAATTTCTGGAACTGGAAAGTGAGAACATCTTCTGTCAAGCCATTACTGCTCTGGATCCTTGTCCACGATGTTAGTGCTGGCCACCATGGCCACCAGCTAAACTAAAAACCCTTTGTTTGCACACTCTAACTAACAGCACAAAGAACCCATAGGAAGAAACCATACTGCAATTACACAAAGTTAATTGCTGAAGCCCAGAAGCTGGGATACCTTCTCCTGATTAAAGCAAGCACCTGAGGACCAGATCTGAAAAGTGAGAAGGGAAAAAACTCCAACAGAGAATCTCTTGGGCAGGACACAATTCCCTTTGGGAGAGTAGCCAGCACTGTGCCGAGTACAGCCAGCTGCAGAGGAGAGAGCTGAGGATGCCAGGGGATCCATGCATTCATGGTATATACCGCTGGGAAATATGACAGCCTGGACCTAACTGATGGCAGCAAGCTCTGACACCACTTGCTGTGCTGGGCACTGATTGCATTAGATCCGTTAACACCTCACTTCCAGGTGCACTTACCTGCACAAAGACGGGGAACACCAGCACCTTGGGAGCCAGAGTCACGTAGGTGCCGTAGCTGGAGTGTGGGATGTGTGGCCTCACTATGGTGCAGTTCTGGTAGTTCCCGTAGTTCTTCATCGTCTGCACAGTCTTCATCAGCCTGGATTTTCTCCCAGAGCCCATGTGTGATTTCCCTTTACATCCATTTCCTGGATGGATAGAGGAAGCAGAAAGAAACACAGAATGAAAAGAGAGCTCCCGCAGAGCTGCTGCACGCTGCTGGCTCGGCTCCTGCTCTCACAGGCTGGAGGAGAGCACGCAGAGCCTAAGGGGAATAGCTGGAGCCAAGAGCTGCAGGGACATCCATCACTCTGCTATCAAAGTTTCCTAGGGATTCATGAAATAACAGCGCTGACTTCATTTCTCCTAATGCAAAATGAGATGTCCCTTGACACTTCTGCTCAATCAAGAGCTACTCACTTGCTGGACCGAGGACTTAAGTGGATCACACCAGCAGCACAAACACATCTCTGTACGTACAAACAGAAACCCAAGGGAGTCGCAGCAAGCTGAGCTGCAGGCAGCACGTCTGGCTCTGTTTGGGTGTCCGCTGCCTTCTGCACAATTTATGAATGTGGTACTTTGGAGGAAGAGCTGTGACACTATTCTCCTATGAAGACAGGCTGAGAGAGTTGGGGCTGTTCAGCCTGGAGAAGAGAAGGCTCCGGGGAGATCTTATAGCGGCCTCCCAGTACCTGAAGGGGCTACAAGAAAGCTGGGGAAGGACTTTTCATAAGGGCAGGTAATGACAGAACAAGGGGAAATGGGTTTAAGCTGAAAGAGGGGAGGTTTAGATGAGATATTAGGAAGAAGTTCTTCACTGTGAGGGTGGTGAGACACTGGAACAGGTTGCCCAAGGAAGTTGTAGATGCCCCCTCCCTGGAAGTGTTGAAGGCCAGGTTGGATGAGGCTTTGAGCAACCTGGTCTAGTGGAAGGTGTCCCTGCTGATGGCAGGGGGGTTGGGGCTGGATGAGCTTTAAGGTCCCTTCCCACCCAAACCATTCTATGATTTTATGATTCTATGATACACACCTCCCTATGCAGTACTGGAAGTACAAATTAAGAAATGCAGAACAACCTCAAATACGACTTCAAATTGTCATTCTTGAATCACAGGAGGACCAAGGAAGTTCCTACCATCAGGAAATACCTGCCTGCACCACTGAACTATGACCCTTCCCTTTCCAGGGAGGGGAAAACCATCTGTGACTAACTCAGGGGAAAAAAAAAAGGGCTGGAAATTTAAACGTTGTGACATTTTTATCCACACAAGTCCTGCCCGCTCTGGATTCTGGGCATGGGAGTTAGCAAAGTGCAGGAATTTCACATCATGGGGTGCTGGGTGTTGAGTTAATCATAGTTTTCAGAAGATACTAAGATTGGAGGTGTCAGAAAAAGGGACAGAAGTGGTAAACACATTCATGCCCATGGGATCAATCCATGCCTTTCCAAATTGCTCCCAGGGATGATGGTTACTCAGACATGGGAGTGTATTTATAATGGATGACCTCATTGTGCATGAGGCTGGCAAAACATCATCCACTGCTTTTCAGCATTACATTTCAGTGCTGGAAAAACTCTGAGCAGCCTGACTGGTTTTTCACTGTCCCCCTCCATCACAGAAAGCCGTTATCCTCCTTCAAAGGAGGGATCACACAGCAGCATCTCTTTGCAGACTCCCACCTCCACCAGCCGAGCACAGCTATGACTTTTCCCAACAAGCCAACAGCAGCTACTGCAGCCACTCTATACCTGCCAGTCTGCATCATTAGAGGCCAGGAGACATTAGGTGGCAGATCAAACCAGTCCCAGAATCTCTAACCTAATTGATAATCCTGTGATTAAAAGCATCGAGGGAGGTGATTCTCCCCCTCTACTCCGCTCTCGTAAGGCCCCACCTGGAATACTGTGTCCCGTTCTGGAGCCCCCACCACAAGAGAGACCTGGAGCAGCTGGAACAAGTCCAGAGGAGGCCAC